TATCTTTGTGACGCAATGTGTTCTGGGAAAATAGTCCCATTCTGTATTGTTGCCGTCTTTAGAATAAGCGGAAACTATGAATATTTATGCGGTTATGGAGCAGGAAGATCAGCCTGTGAGTTTTAAATGTCACAGTTACACATTTGGATCTCGAGTGGGCTGATGTGTTTGATAGAAACAGTGTGAGTGTGTGTATGTGACAACTCAGTTGTGAACCTACACAACCTGCTTTTTGTATCTCAGTAAGGGTGTGCAGAATCCCAAGCTGGGGCATGAATGCAGCAGCCTCGGCCAAACGAACACAATTTTTTAAAAGATCTTTTGTTGTGCCTTTTACCTTTTCACTGACCCCATTATTCATCTGTCCCTCGTTCATCCATCCATCCATCCAGAGATTTCTTGGAATTGCAGCTGATTCGATGGCTGCACATTGGGCAGCTGCTCAGCTCCATTTTCCCAGCGCTGTGGGCGTAGGTGTTTCCCATAACCTGACATCACGTGAGGTGATCCAATCCATCCTAGTGAAAAAAAAATCACGTTTTTAATTATAGCAAGAAACAGCAAGAGGATGACATTCCAATGAGAAAAAAAAAACAGTAAAAGCTGGAAAAATCTAAATACCACGGTCAGTTAGCAACTTGACTTAATCTGGCTTTAAAAATATGGCAATTTTCTTTTTCCAGCTCCAGAAAGGCTTTTTTCCAATTACTGGGCACCTTCACAAAAAGACAGTATTTCTGCATTGGATCCTCAAACATTCACTTAATTGGAACAATTTATTGCATTAAGCTTCACAGATCTTCAGGATGTCAAAGTTCACAGAGATAGGTGGGCCGTGGACCTTCAGGCTCATGCTAACTCATTCCTTAGATAACTTTTTTTTTGTATGGTGGGGATCAGTGCCATACACAGACTTTTCAAGGGGCAGGTGCTTGAGGGGGGTGGGGTAGGATTAGTGTAAATTACTCTTATGGTAGGGGGAGGGATCTGATAATTTTTGTGTGGGGCACTTAGAACCTCAAAAGGGGGGGCACTTCCAATTGTTTGATCAAAAGGTGGCAGCAAGTATTCAGGCACCCCCCCAACCCCCCCACACCTGCCTGGAATAGGCTCCAGGTTCACCACAGCCCAGTGCTAGGTAAGTGCTGGGGAGATGGATGCATTGATGATCATGAAAACCATAATTGGAAACAGCATCACTTCTATTCACCATGGAATTTCCTGGTGTTCGTCTCACACATAGAGAAATGCATAAATTCTGCACTGGTGTACATAACTTTGTCAAGTTGAAAAATCAACAAGCAAATAATTATAAATGTGAGATAGAGATAATAGACAAGTGTTGTGTAGGGAAGTGTACATTGGTGCCAGGAACTGCAGAGAGTCGCATGAGGGTATGGCAACTGGGAGGAGGAGGAGAGTCCGCTGGGAAAGGGCAGGATGGGGATCAATAATCACTCAGCTCCTCTGGGAGACAGATAGGGTGTCTTATTCACATTGTCTCCAGCCATTTGGTGATGATGGTGACCATGATACAACATTTTAAATCTCCACATTGCTGGGTTCATCTGGCCTAATTTGCAGTGAAATATGAGAAATATGCGCAATTATATTCCAGTATTAATAACAGAGCAGAAAAACATAAGCTGTAGCTGTTGTTGAATTAGTACTGACATGATATAACCACTCCACTGCCATAGATGGCAAAGAAGTCCATGGGTGGATGGATGAATAGATGACTGATTGATTTATAAATATTGTGTGGTTGTAATGAATGATTATAACTGGCTGGGCAAAGATTTGCAGTATTTTTTTTTTTTTTTACCATTTTATCACTTTTATTTTTAACTCCATTTATCCCTGTAAACTGCCTGCTTATTCAGTTTTGTTTGACTAGTTAATACTAAACTATTCACAACATGAGCTGATGTCCTGGAAATCATTCCTACTCAACAGGCAGGAGGCAATAAATTTGAGTGAAATTTTATTATAATCCAGAGTTCAGCCATTTCAACTGGAAACGCCATTTGCTTTGTGAGGATTGGCGGCACCAACAGGGCAATTAAACTGCAATAAGTAATAAAAACACAAGCTATTAAGTTAGTGTTAATGGGTTTATGGCACCTTACTGCGCGTCGATGCCTTGGGCAGTTGCAGTCCAAATTCAGTTACCATGGTCATTTATCTCTGAAACACAAGGTGAAAGACGTGGGTAGAGGGGGCAACTGAGGTCGGTATCTTCATGATTATCACTGGGGGTGATCAATGATTTAGGCCACGGGCGTGAGGTGCCCCGTGTGGCCGATTTAATATAAGAGGAGGTGTATTCTCCTAATGCAATAATGTGGTCATGCTGCCTCTCTGTGGCCCCTGAAGATAGGCCGACCTCGCCACTCCGATCTCCACCTCTCACCATCTTGCTTGAGGATGTTTTCAGCATCTACCCCATGGCTGAGGATGCTGCAAGTCCCATGACAACAATTTACACCAAGCTGTCGCAACGCACCTTACTGACACACACAGTCACACAGAGACACGCACACACACCTCTTTAGGCTGTTATAGTAACATCCTTCAGGCAACACAAACACCACCCCTCATCATTAGCAGCGACGTGAACAGGAGCCAGTCCAGCTGCTGTGAACTGTGCACGTTTGCTCCGTGTGTCTTTATAGATAGCCTCTAATTGTGTTTCCTTCATTCTAAATGCGTGTAAATTGCTCTTCTGGGAACAAACACTGCAGGCTGCATCACTCTCCTGCCTTGTTATTAGAATATCAGTTTGACACCATGGGCTGTTCAGGTGCCTAAAGTGATGGATGACTGAACTCTAAGTCAGACTGAACTCTACATCTGCCTAAATGTTAAAGCTGGGCAATTAATCACATTTTAATTTCAATTATGATTTTGGCTTGCAACAATTAACAGAACAAAATAATGGAGATAAAACAATTATCGTGCCACATTTCGTTGTTCAGTGATGCTCCCGTTTTGTCTTGCGTTACAAATCCAGCGCACCCCTGTCCAGGCCCTTTTTAATTGAATCTCTATATTTAGAAGTCAAGGAAATCCACTCTTAAATAGTATTGAGTAATCGGGATAAGTAATCGCGATCTCAGAATCTACCAAAATTATTGTTATGATTTTTTGTCATAAATCAAGCAGCTGTACTAAATGTACTACCTGCATCCTAAATTGTCCGGAAAGAAGATGTGGAGCCCAAGGCACCAAAGCAATTGTTGGTCTATATGCCTAGGATAGTGTCCTCGCTCCTCAGTGCGTGAGCGGTTATTGAAAGTGGATGGATAGATGCACAACGTTTGTGGTTTAGGCTATCAGCTGTGACATAACTCTTCACTTTATCGCCGATAATGGGTGAGGACTTTCTGCACAGCACTAGCTAGCTAGCATGAATAGCCAGGTGTGAGTCCTGCAGATGGCCACATACTTTGTTCAGAATGACCATGCAGTGTCATATTAATTGCTTGAAACAGCTGGTGGGAGCAGAAATGGAGCCCGGTCGGTTTGGGCCAGTCCCCACGGACAGCGGGAGCCCAAGAGCTCCATGTGCGAAGGTGGCATTTGAAATTCAGCTGCGAGGGGGCCAAGCCTGACGCGAGCTGGAACAGGGTTAGTAAGAGCCAAAACAAAGGCAGAAGATTAAAGTAGGAGGCTGGCAGGCTTCTCCCATACTCGCCCACCAGCTGTCCGAGGACTCCAAAAAAGCTTTCCTGGTGAAAAGGTTTCCACAGATGTAAGACCATTAGAATGGGCAGAAAAAAAAATGGCCAGGGATTGTTGCCATAGTTACTTACAGTTGCCGGGCTAAGTTTTCAACCACAAAATGGCACATCTTGGCACTTACAGACATCTTATGTGCTGGCCTTTTTTAATTCCCAGATTCTGAAGCTTGCGATTTCGAGTACATTTGTCCCAGAATGCAACACTGCGTCTCATTGCTTTAGGCCAACAACTACGTGGGTAAATAGCTTTTCCATAAACATCACTTTAGTTCAGCCTCGAGTTAAAAGACATATTTTAAAAAACAGCATATTACTTATAAGCAAGGGAAAAAAACATATCCAACACTTTCCTTTACCTCCTCATCACTGTCTCTTAATGTAAGCTCACCCTCCCAGGCATCAAATGAACTCATTAGCTTCAGGTGGCGGCTGCCAAAATCAATTTATGACACATCCAGTCACAGCCACTGCATCACCCAGTCAGGCCCTAATTGAGCTAAGTGCTTAGTCAGAGAAGATCCACGAGACAAACGTGTTTACCGGGGAATCTTCCATATTTAACGTGTCCACACGAACAGTTTGCGTGCTAATTACATTTGCGTCTCATTTTCTTGGTAGAAATTACCTTCCTGATTATTAAGAAAAAAAAAGCGTTTTCCATGATGTGCTCATTCATAAATCCTGGTGCAGAGGCTATTATAGCCTGCAGGAAGTTTTATATTCTGCTTCCAGGAAGACCCCCTGACACGGAGCTGTGTCCTCTTCATTACTCCGATTAAGTGGTATTTAGCTACCTGGTGTTTTATGTGCAAATCCACTGTGGATTATGATCTAAAATGTAGCATTGCTCTAATTTAATACGGACCTTCTTAGAAAGAAAACTAAAGAGTTGTAATGGACACATGTTCTCCTTGGTCACATGCCCTTCCAATGTGGAGATGTTCTCCCCATGGTCATGAGACCTCAGTTGAATTATCTACTGTAGTGTTTCCCTATCTGGTCATTGAGTACCTGCAGACAGTCCACATTTTTGTTACTAGGAGCTGGAAGGAGCAAAAATGTGGACCGTCTGTGGGCCCCTGAGGATTGGGTTGGGGAACTGATCTGGTGTATGCCTGTGTTACTGGCTGGGTGTAGATCCTGACGCAGCCTGTGAGAGCTGCACCCTGCCTTGTCTCCAGGGTTCTCCAGGACAGGTTCTTAATCACCTCACCATCTGTTTTCCATGACTGCTTATCCTATGCAGGGTCACATTGATCCTGGAGCCCATCCCAGGAAGCCCAGGGAATGAGATGGAGAATGCTCCGGATGCCAGGCCGCACACTCACGTCTACAACCTCACACTAGAGGCTACTCAGAGTCAGCTCTGCCTTTGGACTGTGGGAGGAACCTACAATGCTGGATCAGTGAGGTACAGGTGAACAGGGCTGTAGAGCAGCACGCCCTTAAGCGGATAGCCACTTTCTAATGATGATTGAATGATGACAACAACTTGTAATAACGAGAGCAGATAATTAGGGGCATAAAGGTAAAAATTACAAAGGACAACGATCATTAATGTAGCGAAATGACTCATTAAACACAGAGCATGCTGGTGCAGGCGGCTCTCTGTTTAAGTGTAATTAATACACACAGGCACCCTTCCCCACCCCAACACATTCAGAACAAAGCATCAATGGGCCACACTGGAAGCAATTAGCCATTTTTCCTGCTCCCCCCCCCCCATGCTGACAGCCACCCCCTGGGCCATCGGCGTCCCTGTTCTGTGTGGATGCCCTTTCGCTTGGAAGCAGCGTATAGGGCTGAGGTGTCGCTCTGGGGTTTCCCCGTATCGGCCTAAAGAAGTGAACTAGAGTCAAGGCTTTCACTAGTTTTAGCCCCAGTTTTAGCTTCTAGCAAAAAGCTTAACCTCTTGGTCTTGGGGAAATCATACACACCTGGATTAAAGGCCGAATTATAAACTGATTTTAGATTAAAAAAAAAATGCATCAGCTGTAAAAGCAAATTATACAGGCGAAGAAACCAACAGAGAAATGGAAGATAACTATATACAGTACAGTCTATAATTATAATTATGTATGATGTCATATCTGTTTACCTTCCTCCTAATTCCTTTTAAACCTCCGTTTGTAAAGTCAGCCTTAGGCATAACCAGCACATAACTACGAACACCATGTTAAATTACGCCAGCGGCCCCTATTATGGTTTGCCAGGTTTTTGCCATGTTCTTTCCTGACATGAGGGTTCATGGCCACTTTAGTCATTATCACTTAAGCAGTGGGTGCAAAATGTAGCATTGCTTTGTGTAATTACTAATTAGCCAAAAATGACGGGGGACCACTTCGTAGTGATTCCGAGATGGGCTGCATCCCCTCCCCCTCCCGCCTCCCCCTTCTGTTCCCGAATAACCGATTTGGCGTTGGCCCCCCGCTGGTCCATTATTCCGCGTTGAACATTACGTCTGTGTGGCCCTTTTGGCTTAAATGGGGGTGAATTAGAGTGGAGGTGCCTGCTATTGGGGAGGGGGCCACAGAGCAGCTGCTAAAGTACTACCTGTCCAAAGAGTCTGCATCTTAGAGAAAAGTGAGGTCACCAGCGGGCGAGCAGAGCCAGGTCTCTCTCGCCACGGCCGACACACCTCAGTGTTTCTGCAATTTATGCTCCTCCCCCCACTCACACTTTACCCCCTCCTGACTGCCACGTGCCGTGTGAGGAATGGCAGAAACGTGGAGGTGCAGGCTGCGTTTTTCCTGGTAGCCTGAAAGAGGCCAGCCACCTACGTCCTTCTGCGTACGTGCTTCCCGGCTGTCGCGGTTCTGCGGCTAAATCGAGCCGTTTGTTCCTTTCGGTTGACAAAATGTCAGGGTTCACGAGTAACACCCCTGCTATCCATGAGTGCTCCCTCTCTGAAGTGTGCTATTGCCACCAGCGTCGGAGCATGAGAGAGCGCCACGGACAAATGCGCGTGAAGTGATGCCGACCTCGAGTGCACGCATCACAGTGAACCAGCCATTCCTTCATTTGCATCACTGGTAGCTCGGCCAATCAGAACACACGCCCACCGCGCTGCATTTGGTTCCCATCATATCTGTTTATCATTTATTTATTGTGCGAGCGGCACGGGATCCCGTCACTGTGGGGTCCAGTGCAAATTAAACCCTGGCCCTACATCTGGAAGAGGAGGGCTCCCCCGGGCGGGGTGCGGAAATATGCGAAAACAGGTCAGCTTTGCGAGGATAATTATTGTGAAACCACAAACAGGCAGGTGTCACATGCCCACTCTTTAAGTGCTTAATTGGTCTCACCTGCAGACTTTTTTCCCCAGCCGATGGCTGAGCTTTATTTCGCTTGTATTATGTGTGAACTCTAACTGCCGTATCACAGCGCGAGTGTTTTATAGAGCCCATAAATGCCTTTACTGCGAGAGCATAAAACCATCCGGCCGTTTCCTAAACCCCTTATCGGGATGAGGCCGCCAGTGGCATAGAACCAATAAAGCTTCAAATGCAGCAATACTGTGCTTTTACTGTAACTGGAAATTATATTTTCGAGAGGGGTCCTGTAAATGCATTAATCCTTCACATGAATGGGAGTAGTGATCATATTTATCAGCACCCTAACATTTTTAAGCATATCTTAAAAAAAAATGGAAACGAAACTAAGGATGGCCACCGTGCTTTTATCAGTTTCACAAAAAAGAGTAATAGAAAATAGAAGCGTTTTCATAATTTTCTAGCATGCCAGTAATTTTGCTAACTAATTAATGCCAAATTAAACAAATATGCATTCATCTTCCACCCGGGATCCCATCGCAGGCAGCGCAGCGCATAAGGCTGGCATAACTCGAACCCTGGACAGGACACAGTCACACTCTGTGAATCGTTTAGAGCACCAGCTCTGCTTGTGGAGAGCTACCACCCTGCAGAGCACAGGGCACCAGGAACCATACTTTTGGTACTTCTGCTGAGCCACCCTCACCACAGAGCATCAGAAAACAAGGTTTGTCAAAGCTATTTTCCGTTTCACAAGAAAAGCAGGAAAATATTAAAACTATTGAAAATAACTGTAATGTTACAGAATGATACCAATGATACATGAGGTATTCTGATTTTTTCGGTTGCTCTCTTGCGCCCCCTATTCATATGGTGCCTTAGGGGATCGCCTATGTCATCTATAGCATAGGCAGGCCCAGCCCTGATGCCACCACTATTAGACAAACATTAGTGTGAAAAGAAGTTCTAGAATCTAGGAAAGTGAACGAGCCACTGACCTCTGAGGGTAGCTATAAACAGCCAAAGATGCATCTGATAATACTGGGAGATGCACTAATCCACTTATACGATCTTTATTATCTTTATTGGGATACTGACGGCCATCTCTGCACTATGACGATTAAACGGCGTGTATCGCTAGAATAATCTGGATATCGATACAGAGATAATCTTGTTTTCTTTTGAGCCATCCGTTCACAGTTCCTCTATATTGATTTCTCCTGGTGAATTTATCAGCCATGGGACGCAAGCCAAAAATCAAATAGGCCATGTAATCGATGTTTTTCTAGGTCTTTAATGGGAAAAAAAAAATCTCTTATATATGTAATACAATTGAAAAAAAAATTCTGAATACATTTAGAAATATGTCAAAGAAAAAGGGCCATGGAAAGATATCAGATGCAAAAAATGTAAGGAAAACGTGTCCTTCAATGCATCCATGATCACTCATCCAGCGAATGTGAGCCTGCATATCGTAAAACTCACATGCACTACCGCCAATTTAGAGAAACCGGTTGGTACTGTACCTCCATACCACAGGGGCTGTAGGCTACATTCCTGCCCCCAGCTCAGTGTGTGTGTGTGGGGGGGGAGGTTGTGCGCCCTTCCTGTAGGTGCAGTTTTTCTGCAGACACTCTGGTTTTCTTCTGCAATCTCAAAACATGTGCTTAGCTGAGGCTGAGGGCTCTGGATTGCCAGTATCGTGTGATCGTGTGCGTGAGAGTGAATCCACTACAATGAACTGGTATTCATCCAAGCAGCCCCTGCCCTACTTTCTGGAATAGGCTTTAGGTTCCATTCAAACCCATCCTGGATTAGTGATTATGAAGAATGGACACTCAGAATGATATCCTCACAATGCACTTCATCTCTTAAGTGACATAGCAATTAAAATGACCTGCTCAGCCTGGGCTGACCCCGATTTTCTGTTCTACCTCTACGATGGCTCATTTGACATCCCAGTTGCAAAAGCCTGCTTTATGTCGGCTTGTGTTGCACGATTCTGTTATTTAATTTGTTTGTGCCAGAAAGACTTCACAGCAGGCTGATAAAATAAAAGCTTTTGTCTGATTGGGTGCTGCGGTGCAAAAGCTAGCCCTGCAGAAAAGCCTGTGGAGACTTCGTCCTGCCGCTTACAATCAAGGCGGAAGGCAGTGGCCTGCGGCAACGTCACACGGAGCTTGGCAAGAGGCCTTCAGAGAGACCTGCCTCTCAGACAGGAGCTGTGGTTCTGTCCGGCTTCCCACTCCAGTGCCTACTGGATAGTTCCAATCTCCTACCCATTCCTCTTTTCTTTTTCTCCATCAGGAGACGTTTCCTGGTGGGCATGAGCTGTCACAGTAGGCTTTCTGAATAGCCCCGATAGAACTGCCCCCCCTGCTGCTGTTCTGCGAATCACTGTATCCGTCCCCTCAGCATTCCATCGATCATCCAGCTGCATATCCAGCGCAGGCTCAGTGAGGCTAGATCTGTCACAGGCAGCACAGAGTCACAGTGAGCCCAGATCCTGTCCCAGACAACACAGGGTCACACTGAGGCTAGATCCTGTCCCAGGCAGCACAGGGTCACACTAAGAGTCAATCCTGTCCCAGGCAGCACAGGGTCACACTGAGGGTCGATCCTGTCCCAGGCAGCACAGTGTCACACTGAGGATGAGGGTGTGCCTGTGTGTGTGTGGGGGGGTCATCATTCCAGCTGCTTGCATCAAGGAAATTCTGTCTTAAATGCCCTTAATTAGCTTCCATTAATATGTAGATGGGTTGTTTATCGAAACATTTATTGAAAGACATGGAGCTGGTTAGCAATGGACTGAATCAAGTGTAAACAGGTGACTATTATGGGGTGTGTATGAGTGTGTGAGTTATTGTGTGACCTGACAGAAATTAATCTGTGTGAGAGGGAGGGGGTACACCCCTAGAACACCTTCTCCCTTCTAATAAAATTTCAAATAAATTACCTGAGCTTACCTCCCAATATGACATCTCTGCCTCCATCATTTGAACCCAGTTAATAATAATATAATAATGATTAGATTTTTATGTAAGTATATTATTTTGCTATCTCTGCACAAATCCCTTGCCATCTGCCACACTACAGAAAGAGTATGTCACACAGTATACAGAAGCGTATCAGGAAATAC